TTTTTTTTTTTTTTTTTTTTTGGTACGGGGAATCAAACTCAGGCAGATGATACATGGCTGAGATACATTCCCAGCCTCAAAAAGCAGCTTTTGATACCTTCCTTTTCAAACTGCACCTATCATTGCTCAGAACAGAATTAGAACTCTTTCTTCTGACTTTTGTTTTAGAAAGTACCTAGATTTCCCCTCAAAGTAAGATTTGTTCATACCATCAAAACTTATATGCAAGTGGCTTTTTAGCTGTTCTAAACTCTAAAAATATAAAATTACTTTGTACAAACGAAATACGCCACCACTGATGATGATGAGGATAATGATCATAGTCCTGGTGTTGAGTAGATGCTTTGTTTACCTTACATTATTGAATGTTTTCCAAAGAATTATTCTTCTCAGGTTCTGAGGGCCATTCTCCATAGCAGTTGCATTAGCTAAGGCTTTTAGTTACAAGACCACAGAGTTGGCTGGGCATGGTTCTGTACACCTATAATCCCAGCACTCTGGGTGGCTGTGACAGGAGGATTGAAAGTTCTAGTGACTTAGTGAGATCTCATGTCAAAATTTAAAATATATACATATTTTTTAAAGGGCATCTAGAGCAAGGTGTGGTGAAACATGCCTGTAATTTGAGCACTTGGGAGGCTGAGGCAAGAGGATCACTGCGAGTTCAAGGCCAGCCTGGACTACATAGTGCAACCCTGTCTCCAAAAACCAATAAATGAATTAATGAATGAATGGGGCTTAGAGATATACATCAGTGTGAAGGCCCTGGGTTCTACCTCCAGTACCCCTACTGAAAAAGAAAAAAAAGTTGATACTGTTTTTGATTTCTTACTAAAAACGTCTTATTTCTGATACAATTCTCTGTATCCATGCAGTGATTGCAAGTGTCCAAAAGGTAACTCAAACTACTTTATGTAGAATGTTAGCTTATCAGCTCCCAGAACTTGGAAGTATAGAAAGGTACAACTGCTTTTCAGCTCAACTTGACCTGTGGGCCATTCACCTATCAGAGCAGTATTTCCTGTTTCTGTTTTTGTTCCCCCCCACCCCGGCTGATCTTTCTTCTCAGGCAAGTTCTCACTTTGAAGTCAAAGAGTCTGGCCTACATGATCTTCAGCAACTGTTTCCTAGAGAGGGAGAGAAAGAGTTATTTCTCTTTTAGCACTGATATCAAATCTGAAAACTTAGGGCTGGGGATTTAGCTCAGTAGTTCCGCCACCTGCCTTGCAAGCACAAGGTCCCAAGTTCGATCCCCGGTACCAAAAAAGAACAAAAAGTAACATTTGCACAAATCTGAAAACTTACATGGCCCTGGGGGTGGGGGTCACATACCTAGCCTGAATGACTCCCTGGACCCAAGGGGATCGGACACTCTGGCCAGGCTTGATCATGTCTCTACTCCCATTGAGGTTAGAGAAGGTACATGCATGAAAGTTTTCTTGGGCTGAGGTGGGTGTGGGTTGTTATCAGAGGCTGGACAGGCAAAGGCCTCTAATCAGCTCTTAACGTGGCTTGATCATTGGTGTCAATGTTAGAATAACAAGTCACTGTCCTTTGTGGAAATAGAAGAGGTAGCAAGGAACATGGTGCTAACAGTTTCGTGGGGGTGAAGCTGAATGCTGTGGCATTTCTAGCTGGTTTCCTTACCTCTGAAATAAGAGTGCTGGCCCAAATTTTTTAGAATTCCTTTCTTGTTTTTAAAAAACTCCGAGACTGAGAGGTTGTGGAGGTCTGTGTATTGAGTAACATTTGGCTTTTCTGCATTTTTGTTGACACACTAATGTTGTATACACCTGTTAATGCTGGTTGAATTCACGTGAAATGTTATGTGTTATTGCTGAAGTGTGACTCTTACATGTCAGGCTTTTCTGAGCTTTACTATTCAGATCGACAATAAGTATCTTCAAATTCCTCAGCCTTACCAGTTTCTTTTGTTTGTTTTTAACCCTTCAGTTTTACATGGACGGATGGTAAATTAAACAGCAGTAACTTGGTAATTCTGTCTGGCCAAGTTGTTGAACACTTTGATCTGCAATTCCGGATCTTATATGCCCAGTCAAAGCCCATCAGCCCCAAACTCCTGTCCAACTTCCAGATCAGTGGCAAGTTTGATCATCTAGTGGGCCGAAAACCATTGACCAAGGAGCTTACACTGGGCAACCTGCTGTGCATGCGGCTGGCCAAGCTATCAAGTACACCCAAGAAGACTGACCTGGGCCCACCGGTGCCTGTGAAGGGCAAGACAGGGACCAAGCACCGCGACTCCATGTCCTCCACTATGAATGAGGAAGACTACTTCCACAGGGATGAGCTGGGGGACAGCAAGGCAGTTGATGCTGCCACCCAGACAGAGCCAGGAGAGGAGGTGGCAGCAGTGAGCGTGAGTGAGGTGGGCACGCAGACCAGCATGGGCACGGCCTGTGCCGGAACCCAGACCACCATCACCACCAGGGCATCAAGCTCCCAGACCACAGTGTGGTCCAAGTCGACCACCACCCAGACTGACGCACATGAGACCAGTCACTTTTCTCTGGGAATGCAATCTAAAGAAGGATCACCGGTATCAAAAATGTCAGTGTCAAGGTCCTCCAGTTTGAAGTCATCCTCCTCTTTGTCTTCCCAAGGCTCTGTGGCAAGCTCCATTGGTTCCCACGCTTCCCTCCGAGCCCTCGACTTCCACGCTCCCGGATACCCAAAGTACTTGGGTACCCACCATTTGGACCTGTGCCTGAGGGACTCATTCAGAAACTTGAATCAGGAGCGGCAGTTTCATTTAGCTGGCATCAGATCCCGGCTCAACCACATGCTGGCCATGCTCTCGAGGGGAACGTTCTTTGCTGAAAACTACCCTGGCTTTAAATCTGGAAATTTCACCAGAGCATCAGTTAATTTGGTTGCTGTTAGAGATACAGTACTGTATCCTTCCTATCAGTGATTGCTTCATGCTGGCTTCTGGTGTCAGCCATCTTATGACAGATACTACCAGAGTCCTGCTTTCAAAAACATCACATGTAAGAGACATGTGCTTTCTCTCACCTTTCTTTTAGTCATTTTGGCTGTCTTTGAATTCTATTCTCTGCACATTATTTTACATGTTTTTGTTTTATTTTTATCCTGTAGAAATCGGTTATTGGTTTTATGGTTTAAACACTATAGGTACAGTTTTTTGCACAGTTTTTTAAAAGATGTTTCTTTTTATTTTTTTGGTACCAGGGATCAAACTCAGGACCTTGCCCTTGTGGGGCAGGTGTGGCACCACTGAGTTAAATCCTCAGCTCTTAAAAGATATTTAAGAGAATGTTTAGATTTTAAGGTTAATTCAATAATAGATAAAATATTCTGTATTTTTCTTTGTGTATGCTTTTCTGTCTTAGGGGTTTGAGTCACCATGATTTTTATGGTCAAAATCCTGTTTGGGGAAAAAAAAAACCTGTTTCTTAAATGTTTATCCTTTTAGAATATCTGTATCATTAGCATTAAATAAATTTAGACCACTTTTGTTTGAAACTTTGAGTACTTTTTAAACTTTAAAAACTTTTATTTATTGGTGGGCATTTTTCCTTTGGACTCTAGGAGTATGTAATAAATAACTGCGTCTCATAGGTATCTGTGAGATTTTTTTTCTCATAGCTTTGGGCTAGGAAGAAATAAATGACCCAGGTTATAAAAAGGAAAGCTTATAGCCAGTATTGGGGCCATCCCATCTTTAGCATGATGAAGATTGGTATTACTGATTGAGCAAACTTGCCAGCAGTAGCAGTCCTTTGCACATACTCTGGCTTTTCTGTTTTCAGAGCAAAAATCTGAAATATTCCAGTGAGGACCTTCGTTCTCTGCCTCTCTGTCAAGAGGCCCGGGTGTGCATTCCTGGATGTATGCCTGAATAAACTCTAGTGGCCCCACGGGCCTGATTTCATCAGATGGGTGTACTGACATAATTTAGCAATCTTATATCTCAGAGTAGGGGCAAGAGAGGACACTAACAATTATCCCAGATTCTGAGTCCAATGTCAGGCAATGTGGTTTCTACATCCTGCTAATCAAGATTGGTATGGCTGTGGAATCCCATTTTTGTTGCTCATTTACATGGACAGCCAATAGGAAGAGAGTTAAAGAATGACTCCCTCCTCCTAGCTCGCTAGAGCAAAAATGTTCTATGATAAGGTGTTGTCTGGTACGTAGACTGCTGATGCATGGGTCAAGAGCATGCCTGCAGGTTGTCATATGTGTTCAGGATCACTTGGGATGACCAGGATATTTGCTGGGTTAGTACCATAAGCTATGTCTGTGAAGCAGAAATTAGAGAACTGGCCTATCTGGCTGGAAACGACCAAGTGAAGCCTTGAATGATTGTTATTTGAAGCCATTTTGCAGATTTAGGTCATTTTATATTGCCATCTTAAAAGCTTCACAACAGTACAGTAGAGAGCTACATAAATTAGAAACTGTGATTTCCAATTTTCTGATAAAACAGGCTCAGATTAAGTAGGATATCCAAGATTACTTGGCTGGTAAGTGATGACATAAAGTGTCGTGCAGGCTTCCACATTCTAAATTCAGCTTCTGTTACGTGACTTTTCTTCACTGGAGGCACTGGGGCAGCAACTAATGCAGTGGTGAATGAAAAGCACAAACAGCCTTATGAGCAAACGTAGGTACAAAGCCCTAATTTGTGATAATGTATTTAAATTCTGTTTCAGATTTTAATTCCGTGTTCTATGGAACGGTTAATAGGGTTACAGTTTAGAAGTTGAGTGTTAGATTTGCGGAGTGCAGGACCAAATGGATTGAAGCAGGGTTACTCACATTCCTCACATGTGGTATGAGGGCCAGTGAACTTCTCAGCAGGGCAAGGACATGGCCTGTCACAGTTACCCGACCACACTGCTCTCTTATTGTGAGCAGGACTTAAAAACCATCATTCTCCAAAAGTGCTACCAACAATTAGAAATAAGAGCAAGAGATACATGGAACCCTAAAAAAATGGCTCAGGCTCTCACAGTAAGCCTCCCTGGAGCTTAAGTCTGAATAACACTCTAGGTCAGTTTCTCAAAGTAAAATCTGAACACCACTTGCATCAGAGTCCACTGGGGTGCTTGGTTAAAACGATTATTGTGGGCTGGAGATCTAGCTCGGTGCTGCCACACCTGCCTGGCAAGCGCAAGGTCCTGAGTTCAATCCCTGGCTTGGGGTGGGGAAGATGTTAATTATTGGAATATGGGAGTGTAGCTCAGTGGTACAGAGCAACACAAGGCACTGAATTTAATCCCCTGCCAGTAGGGAAAAAAAAAAGTTGATTATTGGCTCCACTCTAAGGGAAAGGGGAGGGTAAATTTAGCAGACTATGGTTCAAAAACTTATTTGTAGTCTCTCACTGGAAGCATGCTTTAAGTATTGTATTTCTCTGTCAGTCATGGCCACTACAGACTTGGCTGTAAATATTTCTGAATGTAGCTCTAAAAGATAACTAATTTTATGTATTTATTTATTTTTTGAGACAGAGTCTTGCTACTTAGGTCAGACTGGCCTTGAACTCACTATGTCATACAGGCTGGCCAGTAAGGAGGCTGCCTCAGCCTCCCATATGCTGGGTTTAGAGGCATGTGCCACCCTGCCTGGCAAGATAACTAATTTTAAAAGAAATATAATATCGTTATCATACTTAAGCAACTTAGAATTTTCTATCAAATATTCAATGTATAAGTTTGGTTGTTTATTTTTTTCTCCTGAAGGTTTGCTCAAATTAGAGAGTTTAAGATCAACTCAGTTGGTCACAGAGTTGATAGTCTCTTATAAGACTTATGGAATTGGCCAAAGAGATGGCCACCTGCCACTGTACCCAGTTGGCTGGGGATTATTTCTTTTTTTACTACTGAGCCTTGAGTAACTCACAAGAAAACCTAAGACACAAAGTCATATAAACTCAAAGTTACACAAAGGAGCACAGAAAAAATGGAGTAAGGTTGGGGGGGGAGTAAGGTTGGGGGGCACTTATACATGGTTACTTCATGTAGACCACACATTAAAAAAAAAAAAAAGGCTTCCAGTGGCCAAAACAGAAAGGAACCAGGGGAGATAGACCACTCAAGGATGAAGTAAACTCAGGTACAGGACACATGATTATTCCTGGTACTAAAAGTAAAAATTTCTCACAAAAATCTTACTGAATTGCTACTGTGATGCATTCTAATAATCACATCCTGGGGGGGGACAATGGCATATATTCTGGGTTCTTGAAGTCCATGAGGGTAGCTGATTAACACATGAGAAGTATCTGTGAAGACTGGCTGTGTGCCTTATGTTGAATGCAATCAGAGAAGAGTTGTTACACCAGGTTTCAGTGGAGCTGTACACGTAGCTAGGTGCCCCAATTTGCCTGGCAGAAGTCCAGTTTGTCTCTTATCCCCAAGTCCCATCTGTGTAACACTCCCTTTCTTTCTCAGAGGTGTCCCAGTTTTGAGGCTATCCAGAAAACAGATGCCAACCTAAACAAGGCTTCCCCAATCCATCCAGCTTGGTAGAGTTGCCTGCTCTTCAGACCAACTTGATAGAGGCTCCTCTGGTTGCTGGTATTTTCCTGGTTTATCTCCACAACTCTCTTCAGATCCTTGGAGCTAAGGACTTTTGCTTATGCTAATGCATATATGAATATGATCACTGGTGTGCAAGCCAACAAATCACGCAGGTTTACATATAACAGTTACAGAGGACTTTTCCTTAGACTGTGGGACATCCTGGTGTAGAACAAATTCATAAAAAATTCTACAAAAGGCCTCTTTTCAGTCTGGGAGACAGCTGTCTTTCTCTGGCTTAATGGAGCCTACTCAAACTAGTTTTCTCTTTTTCTGAGGAAGCTAACAGTTCATGGACATAAGATTGGTTGTAAGGGGCATATTATTTTTGCCTCATTCATAGCCTCACCTTTGGATAATTTTACCCCTCACATTTCTCTCTGAGCAACCATTCTGTTCCCAGCTCTCAGTCTGTGTGGATCAAGTGAAGCTCACCACACCTGATTCACAAGGGTGGAACATGTATCTAGGCCTAAGCCTTTCAATACTTCATATTCCCTAGTGATTGATTCAAGGATTGTTACATGAGCCAGCCACAGACTTCTGGCAGAGAATTTTGGAAAGAAGTTTGATGCTTAAGAAGAAGTTGACCTGACCATCTTGTTACCACACTGCATCTGAACCAGAAGGCAGTGGAACAGCATGATTAAAGTCCTGGCCATGTCATAGGCGTCCTGATGCATCTGTGTCTCCATTCAGGCTATCCTTAGACCTTCTAGTTTACAGAAAGCATCTCTGCTTAAGTGATGTTGGGTTGGGTTTTTATCACTTGTGTCCATAAAAGCCTTCATGGGCAAGAAGATGAACATCCCTAAATTCTGTGATTCCCAAATACAGTCAATACATTTGATCCAGAAATAGTTCAATGCAGAGAGTGCCAGTTAATATAGACACAGAAAAACTTAATGTACCCAAGAAACATGATTTGGGGGAACATCTATGTGGAAAATCTATCATTGAGGAAATTGCAAAATGTACCTCTATACAACAAAATGATCAAATTTTTGTGAAATAGTTGGCCATGAACTAAATCAATTCTGGATGCTACCTTAAATAATATTTCCCGGGGCCAGGGATTTAGCTCAGTGGTTCTGGTGCCTGAGTTCAATCCCCAGTACCAAAAAAACAAACAAACAAAAAAACATAAAAAGAAATAATATTTCCTGATTCCCTTGCCCTCCCTTCACCTCCACCCTTCCCTATTTACAAAGATTTTATTTCCATTTTTTCTTTTCATATTTTTTCTTTTCCCTTCTTTCCCCTACCTACCCTTCCCACTTCCCTTTCTCCTTTAGACATTGTCTTCCTATGTCACACTATTAATTAAAAATATGAACAAAGATACATCATGTAAAGGTATAAGTTCCCAATGATGAATGTAGCTATTGTTTACCTTAAATGTACAAATAAACTTAATGAAAACAAAACAAAACGAATTGAAGGAGGAAAAAAAAAAGATAATGGTTTAATTTTAGACTACTTCCTTTAAGCCATTCTTCCTGAAAATAGCTATTAGAAAGACTAGAAGTCAATTGGGACCATTCCTACTCTGTGACAATAAAAGTGCACCATCAACATGTAGGTTATTACTTAGGTGTATTTTTAATAGATAAACTAAACCAGTGGAGATAGTTGGACCTTGAGAACTTTCTGAGGCAGATGAAGTAATTCTCATTTAGAAGTGCTTAGCTCTAATGGTTTTAAATGGTACGCATAGGTGAAAAAACAGCCGGGGAATAGGCTGAGTTCTAGTTTTGCTTCTGGTCCTAAATTAGTTCATTGATTCCAACCAAGTCTTTTTTTTTTTAAACCTCTATGGACCTTAAATTTCTCTTCTGTAACTTGTCTAGATGTTGAATAGAGTCTTCTCTGGCTTTAAGATTGTGATCCAATAATTTGAGCACAGCCAATCCATTGTCTGTTAATAGGAAAATTTCCTCATATTGTCATGAATAGTACACAAATATAAAAGGTAAAGCTGGTGACACACACCAGTAATCCCAACTACTCTGGTAGGCTAAAGCAGGATGAATGCTTGAGCCCAGGAGTTTGAGTCCAGCCTGCTGCATACCTGTACACCTAGCACTCTGGAAACCTGAGGCAGGAAGATTGCAAGTTCAAACCCAGGCAGAACCATTTAGTGACTTCATGAGACCCTGTCTCAAAGTGTAAAAAGCTCAGATTCAAACTGCTATTCATTTACCCATTTCATGTGTAAATCTTTTTTTTTTTTTGGTACCTGGGATCAAACTCAGGAGGCAGGTGTGGTAAATCTTCCTTCTTAGGTTTAGGTTGTTAGTGGAAATAAGACCAAAAAGGATCAATGTCAGGGAAAACCTAAACCAAATATACTGCATGGTGTATAGCTGGACTGTAGTTCAGTGGGAGAGTGCTTGTGTAGTATGTGGGAGGCCCTGGGATTGATTTCCAGGATTGCAAAGGAGAGAGAGAAAATTAAAAAAGCATAGTGTTATTCAAAAGTAACACTGTATATATGCATTATTATATATTATTACAGCTTGGAGCAATGAATGAGTGCAACATGATCCTTGTTCTCAAGAAGTTCCCAGTGGAGTCAGATTAATTATAGTTCAACTAAATATTATCACAAAACTGAGCATGCTGGTCCTGAGTCTATAGGGGCAGATGCTTAAATTTGACACAATTTAGAAGAGTAGTAGAGTTGGACTTCAGGGGACAGACCCCCTTGTTTTGGGGAATTAAATTCAGGGCCTTTGCAATGAGCTACCCTCCCCACCTTTATGAGACAGAGTTCCACTAGACTGTTAAATTGCCCAGGCTGGGCTTGAACTTGCAATTCTTTTGCCTCAGTCTCCCAGACTGTTGGGATTACACGTGTGTACCAACATGCACAGCAAGGGCCAATAATACTGTAGAGCATGGATAGAGGATTTTAGGCAGCGTAATTAACATGTATTAAACTATTTTCATTATTATGGAAATAAATTAGATAGATATTTGGAAAATGATGGTATGAAAATAAATTCATGATTGACACCCCCCTACGGCTTGCAGCTAGTGGATTTGCCCTAAGTTGAGGTGGTGAGAGCTAACACTGAGTGTCTGCCATGTCTTACATGCTAGGCACTTTACATGTTATTTACTACCTTTCACAAACTCATTTTACAGCTGGGGATTTAGCTCAGTGGTTCCGCTGCCTGCCTTGCAAGTGCAAGGACCTGAGTTCATCCCCTGGTACCAAAAAAAAAAAAAAAAAAAAAAAAAAAAAAAAAAAAGTTTAACTAGTACAATCAGTATGGAGAGTCCTCAAAAAACTGAAACTAGAAATTCTTTTCAACCTAGCTATTCTCCTAGGTATCTTCCCAAGAGTTAAAGACATGGTATCACAGTGACACAAGCATACCCATGTTTATAGCAGCAGAATTCATTTTAGTTAAATCTTGGAAGCAATAAAGAAATGTATGTATATACAATGGAATGTTAACCTGCTGTTTTAGTCAGGGTTTGCAAGGGAAATAGATTTAATACAGGATACATAATTTATGAGGATTATTTTATAAAAGTCATCCAAAAAGTCAAATACAGAAGACTGCAAGAGATTAGCTACACACTAGTGACCCAAAGAATTCATCCAAGGGCCTGGATCCCAGAGTGATGTCCCCCACAAGTCCAGCTGAAGGCCTAAGTCCAAGGCAATGTCCTCTATGAGTCCAGTCAGTGGCCTAGAGCCCATGGCAGTATCTCATGCTTGTCTGCATTGAGGACCTGCATCAGGAAGGCCTAAAGGCCAGTGGTGGAAGATAGGAAGCTTACACCTGGCAGGATTTGTGCCACTAGGCTTGAGGGATCTGTACCAGAACCAGGAAGTGATGCTCATGGCAAAGATCAGAGCTCCTTGAGAACAGAAGCCATTCCCAGTGACAGTGAGGACAAGAGCTCCTCCTGTCATAAGAGAACAGCCAAGTTTACGTCAGAAAAACCACTCAGCAAGCTACTGGAAGAAAATCAGCAGACCGTATCTTCCCCTCCAGTTCTCTAGGCTGCTGGCAACAATGCACAGATGGGTTTTCCACGCCCAGACCATGCTGAATCAGTTCAGCTGCATGGTCTAAGTTGATCATTAGTTAATCCACCACACCTGCCATAAAGAAGGATACACTTGAATCATTGTATGAAATGGATGCACCTTGAGACCATAAAGTGAAATAAGCCAGACATATAACCCTAAATATCGCATGGTTTCTCTTATGAGAAACTCAAAATTTAAATGAAGAGCAGAATAAAAGTAAATAATAGCAAATAGGGCGGTAGATGTTTTTCAAATGAGAAGGGGACCAAGAGATGGAGGAAGAGGGGAGGGAGGGAGGGACTGAAAAAATAATTGAGATATGTGATGTACATATGTCAACTCCCCACAAGGGATATCATTATCATATATTGCACAAATGTACTAAAATTTTTTTTTAAAAATCAAACCGTCATTTTACAGCTAAGATTAAATGCCACCTAGTAGCCAGGAAATGGCCAAATCAGGGCTACTTGTCTGCAAAGTCTTTGTTCTTGCTATACTATTTCTCTCCAAGAATGCTGAATTTTCTTTATAGGTCTAAGAATGTGTATTTTAAAGCAGTGGTGGCGAACGTTTTAGAAACAAACGTCCAAACTGCAACCCAAAACCCACTAATTAAAGTGCCAACACTGCAATTTAATGTGAATAGAGGTTTTAGTTTAGAAAAAACTCATACATTAACATCTTTTCTCTTACAAAAACAACACCCATGCCAAAAGTGCCACCATTTTGTTTTTTCCTGTACTGGGGATTAAACTCAGGCATAGTGCCACTGAGTTCAATCCCTGGCACAATTTTTTTTAGCACTGGGGATTGAATTTAGGGACCTCACACTGAGCTACAAACCCACCCTTTTATTTAGACACAATCACTGCTGAATCCCTAAACTGTCCAGGTGAGACTCAAACTTGATAGCCTGCCTCAGTTTAGCAAGCACTGAGATTACAGGTGTGAGCCACCAGGTTCAGCTTACTGAGTTCCTTAAAATTCATGTTACTAGGCTGTGCCCCTAGAGGTTCAGGAACACAGACTAAAATTCGCATGTTAAAATTTTTGAGACAGTGTCAAGCTATGTAACCTAGCTAGGCTGGCCTGGATGTCATTGCAACCCTCCTTCCTCAGCCTCCCAAGTGCTGGGACGGCAGGCATGTTGCCACCATATCTGGCTTGGAATCTGCATTTTTAAAAAGCATTTGATTCATGATTAGATGAATTAGAAAAAAATTGTGTGAAATGTCCTGACTGATATTATTTCCAGCCTCTTACGGCAACCCATTTACCCTCCCACCTTACCTTCACCACCACGATTTTTTGGCATTACTTTAGTGTCACTGAAACAATTAGTTTCACTTCACTGCCTTACTTTCTGATTATGAAGATTATTATAACCCAGCATTTATTCATTTACAATTTAATCCATTACCACAACCCTCCACACACCCTGTTGAAATCGCAGGACCTGGACACACAGTAAGCCCTGAGTGTTGGTGGAGAAGAGTCTGAAAGAGAAGTAGCAAAGCTGGGACAGTTTGTAACAATCAGTATCTCATTTTTTTGGGCCAGCATCAGATTTATTTTATCTCTTTAGCAAGTAAATTATCATAAACACAGATCAACAGCCATACTAAAAGGCCAGAAAACATACAAAACACATAAAACAATTATACTAAATCAAGGTACATGTTTTGATACACTAAATCAGTATCTCCTAATCTGGAAACGGTGTCTCAGCGTTCACAGCACCTCGAGGGTCCTCCGGTCCTCCCCTAGAGCTCACACTGTCCCAGGTGCGCTGCCAGCTGAGGCCACGCCTCACCCTACAACAACACCTCGTGGAAGCCGGACCCATTCATTCAGCAGGCTCAGAAAAGGCAGATTTACGTGCCTTTCGCTGCAATAGGGCTGGGCAGGGTCACGTGGGCCCGGGGCCAGCAGGCGGGTTTGCGTAGGAGTAGTCGCAGTCGGTCCTACTGTATAAAGGGGCGTGGCCACGGGCGTGGCCTTCACACTGATCGTTTGGGCCCGGAGAGGCCCTTCGCGGGCCACGCCCCCTGGGTCCCGCTGGACTCGCGCGCGAAGGCGGGGGGGGTGGAGCCTCGTGACCTTTCACCCCAGCATGGCTGCGTCCGTAGGACCCGTGAAGTTCTGGCGTCCAGGTAAGGCCCTCAGCGATGCGGCGGGCAGATGCGCCGGCCTAACATCAGTCTTGGCGTCGCGACCAGCACCCTGGGGCCTGCGGACCTGCTGATAGGCCTGACCTCGGCGGGCTGGGCACTAGTCCTCTGAGCGAGTGGACTCTGGTTCTGGCGTCCATAGTGGTCCCGAGGGGTTCGGAGTCCGCCTCCGGCCTCGGCAGAAACGATTTGACCTTGTTGGAGTCTCTTCCTCCTCGGGTCTCATTTCCTTCATTGCTGATTTTCTGTCTTCCCTACCGGGCGAGAAGGGGAATGTTAAAGCACCTACGCGTGGGTGCAACCGCTCTTGGACTTTGTTGGGGCCGGAAAGTCGAGGGCGCTCAAGGACTCAGGAGCCATGGACTCAAAATGCCCGAGTTCAAATCTTTGTCTCTGCTGTATAGTAGACTTAGTAACTTTTGGCAAGAGCTTTGGTCTCCTCACCTGGGCAGAATAACACCTACCATTTGGGCTTGAATACGGAGCACCACACATTATCCGACTTCTAAGTGGTCGTAAAAAAGGAGAAATGTGTTATGTTCTTTTAGGGTAATTCTTGTCCACTCTGACTCAACTGACTGGCAGATAGCTCCCTCCTTTATGTTGGCCACCATCGACTTCTCGCTTGTGGACTAACACAAATTACAGTCACCGAGCGCTTTGTTTTGGCCCTTACCAATCGCTTTTTGTTGACTCTGTATTCAGACCATGCTAGGTGCATTAGTTTTCCTCTTTGCCCATTAGTTCCTTGTAAAAGTAAAAGTTTCTTGATAGTCACGCCCACACTCCTGCACTCCTCTTGGTTGTGCAGAGTATATTGCTGCAAAAGTGAGTAAGACAGAAAAGGAAAGGTTTTTAAGAGTGTTTTAGAATGGTTCCATGAAATTCTGACCATGCATGTGAATGATATGAGAGATAAATCCAAGCAAAGGAAATGCTCAATTGTTTTTAAAAATCTTTATTTTGTCTCTTTATGACAGTTTTATGATTCAGCATTTCAAGGCTTTAGCCAATTATCCTGAGTTTTATTTACAGCCAAAACGAAGCTTCCATTAAGTAATGGGTTAACCTTATTTATTCAAGCTTTTAATAACAGTACAAAATGCTAAGTACATTGGGGCATGATGGTGGTACCTATGATCCCAGCACTTGGCAGGCTGAGGCAGGAGGATCACAGTGAATTGAAGCCAAGCAAGACCCCTGCCTCAAAACAAACAAAACAGCAACAACAAAAAACCCAAACAAAACACACAAAGCACTAAGTATAGTAAAGGAGTGAAAAAGTTGTTGAAAATTATACCAGGTACTATTTTAAAGAACATGAAATTACTCATGAGTTTTATTCCGTTATTTAGTTTGTTGAGAGTATACTTACTGAATCTTTAGCCCTGTAGCAGGAAACAAATGTAGATGATCTGGGTTCTCTAAAGGTGCACTGTCGCAATTGATTAGCAAGTTAGATGTTCGTTAGAAAACACTTTAAATGAATCAGAATAAGGTGGTAAAGAGGATGGGCTCAGCAGCCAGACTGCAGTGCTCATCTTAAATGCTAGTCACTAATTTGGTGGCTTAATAGTCACGTAAGTGTTCAGAGTCTTGGCTATACCATCTATGATTTGTTATAAAAGGATTGTTGTGAAGATTAAATCAGTAATACACAATAGTTTTTGGCATCAGATATGCATCTGTTATATTTATGTGGGTGTATAGAAGAGGGAAGGGAAAATTTGAATATGTAGATAAGAAATACTTCATAAAGATAGTAACATTTTTGAGGTAAATACTGAGGGTTGAATAATGTTTTCTTTCGTAGAGTGGTAGGGGAAGGGAACTCTAGGCAGATGGTGGAGTGTGAATAAAGGCAGAGTTGGATTTGTGTCTTAAGAATGTCTGACAGTTGCCAGATATGGTAGCACACACCTGTAATCCCAGCACTTCGGAGGCTGAGGAAGGAGGATTTCCATGAGTTTGAGGCCAGTGTGAGCTACATAGTTTAAGGCCAGCCTGGACTACAGAGTGAGACCCTGTGTCAAAGAAAGAAATTTAGAAAACCAAAATAATTGAGGAGTGTAATGGTCTTCTTATATAGTAGGATAGATTTTAGAGTGTGACAGTAGATAATGCTGGACAGATAGGGAGGAGCCTCACTATGATAGACCTTGATGACAAATTAATGAGTTTACTGTTTTTAAGCAAGTAAGTTGCATAGCTTTACTTTAGAAAGATAACCCTGGTGGTGGCGTGGCAAATGGAGATTGAATGGAGAGGAACATTAGAGGCAGGGACACTCTAAAGAGGTTACTACCAAAATCCAGAAGGGATGTTGGAAACATCAATTCTGTACTGGAGCTGAGAAGAGGGGCCTTTTGGTGAGAGATTTTGGGGGCAGATATGGGAGAAGGAGAAATCAGTAATGACTCAGATTTCTGGGTTGGATGACTGTTTGGGTAGGTGGTTCTCAAATTGTGCTGTGTAGGTGAACCACCTGGGAAGCTTCAAAAAATCCTGGTGCACTGTTGCACCCCATGCCAGTAAATCAGAAGTCTGCAAGACTAGGAGCCTGGTGGCAGTATTTTTGAACTCTCTGGAGGATTCCATTGTACACTGAAATTTGGGAACCACTGGTCTGGGTAAACAGTGCTGTCATTAACTGAGATGGAGTCCGCCCTCGTTGGCTCCTTGCTCTTTGCTGCCTCTTTTCACTTACAATGTCTTATTATTGGAGTTAACAGTCTGATTTTACAGACGAGCTAGTGTACATTCAAGATATGAAATAGATTGTGGGAAATGAAGATCAGGGATGTGGTTGAAGCTAAATATAAGTCTAGATGGTGGAATCATGATCCTTTCCCATCTGCCAAGAGTCACAGGCTCATAGCTCAGGGGCACTGACAAAAGTGAGTGAAGCTTGCTTGGTGGAATAATGAGTAATTGTCGAAACAAATTCTGGCAAATTAGAATGTGTGTATACTGTGTGGATAGGTACAGTGTAGGTGTATGCTGGTGCTTGCACATGCTGTCTAAAGTAGGGAGATGTAATAGGCTTGCCCAACTGTTGTATGGGTGTAGAATGGCTATATATATATATATGGGTGTAGAATGGCTATATATATATTTATATACACACACACACACACGCACACACACACATGTGTGCATGTGTGTGTGTGTGTGTGTGTGTGTGTGTGTGTGTATTTTAAGGAAGCCTAATAACCAGATTTGAATGGGAAATTTTTACATGATGTTTTAAATGAGCTATTTAAAACATTTTAATGATAGCATGTCTGGGGACCTACCAGCTTTTGATCTCTCTTTCTTTTTCTTTTGGGTTTTTGAGATAAGGCCTCACTATGTAGTTGAAGCTGGCCTTGAACTCACTCTGCAGTCCAGGCTGGCCTCGAACTCATGGCAAGCCTCCTGCTTCAGCCTTCTGAGTGCTGAGATTACAGGCATGTGCCACCACGCTCAGTTTGATCTCTACCTTAGAGCAGTTTGACGAACTAGCCTTGTATGACTGGTTGAGATTTTTCTAGAAAAATGTTTCACATAATTGGCTAGCACACAGGATCATCATCAAGCCTTGTCCACTTTTATTTGCTCACTCAACAAATATTTAATGGTTGCTGATAACGTGCACAAACATTATAGCTGCAATAGTTTTGAAGGTTTTTTTCCTCCCCAGTGCCAGGGATTGCCCCTGGGGGCAATCTACCATTGTTGAGGCTTTTTTGACTTGACCCAAGTAAGAAATACAAGATGTGATCTAAAAATACAGTGACTGTTTAAATTTAAACAAAATTTATTGAAAAGGTACATTGTTGTCAGCTTCAGAATGCTCCCCCTCATTTTGTTTTTTTATTTTGGTTTGTTTGTTTTGGTACCAGGGATCGAACTTGGGACCTTGTGCTTGAGAGGCAGGCGGTAGAACCACTGAGCTAAATCCCTGGCCCTGTCCCCCTCATTTTGAACACACTTATCCCATTGTTCTGCCACTTCCTGAAGCTGCTCTGAAGCTTCTTAATTTGTGCATGACTTACCTTTTGAGGTAATTTTGACTTGGGGGAGAGCCAGAAGTTGCGTGCTGTCAGATCTGGTGAATAAGGTGGATGTTTTTACAAGTCTGCCTTTCCATTGGATGGCACTTGGCAGCAGCATTCACTATATTTTTGATCACATTTAATGAAGATTGTCACAAAAGAGGACTTCCAGAACTGCTTCAGAAAATGGCAAGAATGACAGGATAAGTTGTTTGAAGAGGAGTATTTTGAGGAGGATTAATGGCAATATGTCTTTTACTGTAATAAATTTTTAAAAATTTAAACATTCACTGTTATTTTGATTACTCCTTGCGTATGTTGTGATCTAGCACACATACATAATGGGAAAAAGTGTACAGAAAAAACACTGCTTTCTGGAATGTGCTCTCTTTTTATTTCTTTCCCCTCCCCTCCCGTTTTTTGGTACTAGGGATCGAACTTGGGACTTTGTGCTTGCAAGGCAGGCGGTGGCACCACTGAGCTGAATCCCTGGCCCTCCCCTTTCCTTCTTTTTTCCTTTTCTTTTCCTTCCCACCCCCCCACCCGCCTTCCCTTCTTTCCTTTGTGGTGCTGAGGACCAAACCCAGAACCTCACACTTACTAGATTTGCATTCTACTGAGCTTCTCTATTTCTGTTCCATTATTTTAAAAACTGGCATGACCCAGTACATGAATTTCATAGTCCACTAATGGGTCACCACTCGGATTTTGACAAGCTGGGTTAAAGGGAATGCTAAATTGGGGTTGCTACTAGGAGCTTTTTTAATAGATGGAGAAATGAAAGTGTTTATATTTTGCAAAAGTTATAAAATTGTTACTCCTTTAAATGCAAAGTACTTCTAATCAAAAAACAATCATAAGCAGCCTGAAAGCTGGGTGTGGTGGTGCACATCTGTAATCCCAGCACTCAGGAGGCTGAGGCAGGAGGATTGCTGTGAGTTCAAGACCAGCCTGGGCTATGTAGTGAGTTCCAGGTCAGTCTCAACTACATAGTGAGACCCTGTCTCAAAAACAAACAAACAAACAAATAAGCAGCCTGAGTGGACTGTGGGATGTTTACAGAGAGATAGCAGCCCTGAGGTTCTGGTTTGGCTGAATGAAGTCTTTTGTAAAAAGATAAACTCTATTTATTGACAGCAGCTGCTCTTGTAAAAGAGCTTGTAACAGTATTCTGAAATGGGCTAGACTGTAATTTAGAGACAAGGACATCATGGGATAGGGAACAAGACCCGAGTGTAGGAAGAAGGAAGAGACCTTGTAGGATCAGTGTTAAAATATTCCAGGATGGAAATCTGGGCAAAAAACAGAGCAGAAGAGAATAAGATATTATTTGCAATATTTTTCTTGATTAGAGGTTGTAAAGGATCAAGCCCCAGTATTGTTTCCTGACCGCCCCCCCAAATTATGGGGAGTTATGATGATGTAGCAATGGTAGGGCTGGGATGTAACTTAGTGGTAGAGCATTTGCTTAGCCTGTATGAGGCTCTGGGTTTGATTCTCAGCACTAGGAAAAAACAAAACAAAACAAAACAAAACCAAGAAGTAATAGTAATAAGAGGAAAAAAGAAAGAGAAGTTGGTTGAGTATAGGCTTTGTTCCAGGTTCTGTTCTTTTATCTTGTTGAAAGGAAGGTCAGCATTTTGGCAAAAGCAACACAGCAGTGCCCCACTTACCTGATTTTTGGCAATCATGGGCCTCTGGAGTACAACTCTGTTCCTGGAAGTAGATGAAAAGGGACAGAAATCTAAAGCAGAGATTCTAAACTTAGCCTGAGGAAACTCATGGACCCCCAGCATTTTCTATTTTGTTAAATATTTTTCTGGTAATCACTGGGCTAGTTACTCTTACCATAAAGTCTGTATACTTTCATATAGCATCACAGATTTTCAGTTTCAGGGACTTGGGAGATAGTAGTTTGGGGCAATTATCCCCACGATGCCCCCAGTAGGATGCTGTACACACTTAGTAGGATGCTGTACTTCTAGGGAGGGTTTTTATTGATTCATAAGGCAACATACTCCATTACTGAACAGCTCTACCTTTTAGAAATGTTTCCTTATGTTGAGTTGGATTCTGAAGCCTGTGTCATTTACTTAGTATTTCTTGTTCAGTCTTAGGGCCTAGGACCACGTGAACAAATCAGCATGAAAAGTTACAGAAGCTGATCATAAAACGTGAACTGAAGTTTCTCCTGAGGCTTTTTCCCCTTTCAGGCTAAAAGTCTGTGGTACCTTCCATAGGTTTTTAGGATGGGATCTGACTCCCTCTTCTTCTCCATATTGGGCATCGTTTTGTCATTGTTCTTAGCAGCCTGTGGCTCTTGTTTCATATGCTTTCCACAGTATTTCTGGGAATAACATTCCCCACATAACCACTCCAGCTCTGGTTCAGATGAGGTTGCCCTTCACTGTATCCCACTGCACTGGCCCAGGGTGATTGGATCAGGGTGGGCATTGGATCTAAGCTGTGAGAAGTCAATCCCTGGAGGTTCAGTATTTGGAGCCTTTTCTACCCCCGTCCACCTGTGCACACCTGGGACTCTCAGTTCCTCTTACGGTGTTTTATTCTCTCCATGGCACTTATTATCACTTCACGTACCAGGTCACATTCTTCTAGAGAAGCAGGAAAGCGCCACAAGAGCATGGCTCTGGTCTATAATGTTCACTGCTGTATTTCTAGAGCAGGGCCAAGCCTTATCTTCGCATGAGGGTATAGGAACGATTGGCAGAGAAGCTTTGAGCCTGAGCCCTGGCGCTGTCATCAGCCTTGTTCCCAGCTCCTGTAGAAAAGCCTCCTGTAGGAACTGAGAGGAGCTTGCCAGGAAATACAGAGATGAGAGGAGAAAGCTGTGACAGCCTTCAAGGCCTCTGTGCCTGGCTTCCCTGAGACTTGCTGCTAGTCCAGAGTAACAAGATTTCTCCTTGGCCTCAGTGAAATCTACTTCTTGTAGAGTTTCTTTCACTGGTTAAGAATTTCATAATATACAGAGCTGGGTTGCCAGTGGGAGCCCAGGGGACTGCCATCTCTTTTGCTCTTGTCGTGGCAGCCAAGCCTTATTTAAGAAAGATTTTTATTTTTTAATAGGTACTATTCTAGCTTTTTAAAAATTTAAACTTTTTGAAGCTTGAAGTTTTGTACTTTTAGTAGTTTGAGATAAAAAGCATTGCTTTTTTTGTAGGACATCTTCATTTTTGAAATTTTGTAACCTTTAAACTTTTTTCTGTTCACCACATCAGAGGATCTGAAAAAACATTTCTGCTGCAGGTACAGAGGGACCAGGTGTCAGCATCTCTGAAGAGAGACAAAGTGTTACGGAAAACTCTGGGACAACCATCGTTTACAATCCTTATGCTGCCTTCTCCATAGAGCAGCAGAGGCAGAAGCTGCCTGTGTTTAAGGTATGGCAGGACCAGGGTATGGGTTTCATCATGTGTCTGCTGGGGCTTTATGTTTGGCACTGCAGACAGTGGCCTCGTATTCTGAGGGTTCTTGAAAACAGTGAAGTAGAAGAGACCTCATTTAAGGGAACACTTTTCTAAAGAGTGTGTGTGTGTGTGTGTGTGTGTGTGTGTGTGTGTGTGTGTGTGTATTAACTATATAAAAGTCCTTAAGATTTTCCCCATTAGAGATCTTACATATTAGAAAATGGGAGGCATTGGAATGGCATTCTTTTTAACCCCATCATTGCTTTCAATTATGTATAATCTCAAGCATGCAGAAAAGTAGACAAAATGTTACAGTAAACTTCTGTGTACCCATCTGCAACACATTATCAGCATATGGCTAATTTTTGTTTTCCTTAAAAAGGTATTTATTTAAACAAGATTAATTGGGAATTCAATATTATTTCAATGAAGAGTTCAGTTAGTATTTGAATTCTTGCTGAGGCAGTGATAGGATTTTGGCCTGGTTACCAGATGCCAGGTATATATCCAGACACTTGATTACATGAGTGTAAATGAAATGATGCACGCTTAGCTCACAAGAGACCAAAGGGTAAACCAGAATACATTGATTTATGGTGAACGCTAGTGCTGATGGACACACTCGATGAACATTCTTCCTTTTGGCAAGTCCACATCAGAAGCCCAGCAGTAGCCAGGAAGTAGGCTCAGAGCCAAAGGCAAGTCAGACAGACTTGGAGAATGTTTATTTCATGTGTCCTCTGGTGAGGGATGATGGGTTCTCCTTGTCTCTCAGATGCCTCTGAAATGACACGAATAGGTACAGACAGCAGCATACATGTCCGTGTGCTTTCTTTTGGTTAGGGCTGGGTGAAAGACAACAAGCTTTTACACCTGGAGGGTCCCTTTGTCTGATAATTTCTTAATGTTCATATGTTCTTCAAAGAGATAGAAAGAGCAATATTCTTAATTTAGTTTCATCTACGACCTGTGAATGTTGATGAGTGTGACCCTCAGAAGATGAGATGATAGGCTAGCTCTTGCTTCCACACCACCAGCGGTCTCTAGACTGTAGCTTCCAACCTGAGCTTCACTGTTTATGTGCTGTATGACCTTGCTTCAGCCTTTTGAGCATCCATTTCCTTATCTATGATATCAGAATAATAGTAGCATCTACCTCATAGGATTGTTATGGGGCCTGGATGAGATAGCCCTTGCAGGCCATTTAGTAAGACACCTGACACGTAGTTAATGTTCAAGTTATTGTTTCCTGAGAATTTAAATTTTGGTCTTTTATTGACTGTTCTTCACTCTCTTGTCATATAAACAAAACAACAGGTGCAAAAAGAAAACAAGAAGTTGGAGTATATTGATAGAATTAAAATATATTTATTATTATTATTTTTTTCTTTGTGTTTTTTATTTTTTGAGACAGGGTCTCACTACGTAGTTGAGACTGACCTGGAACTCACTTTGTAGCCCAGGCTGGTCTTGAACTCACAGCGATCCTCCTGTCTCAACCTCCTGAGTGCTGGGATTGCAGGCATGCGCCACCACACCCGGCTAGAATAAAATATAAAAAACAGGTTATAAGTTATTAATAGAAAGCAAAACAGACCTGAGTGTAGTGGCACATGCCTGTAATCCCAGCTACTTGGGAGGTTGACGTAGAAGGATCTAAATTTGAGACTAGCCCTGGCAACTCACTGAGATTCTGTCTTGAAAAAAAAAAATAAGGAAAGAAAGTAAAGAAAGCAAAGTAGAATCTAAGCATTGTTGAGCTTTCTCTACTTCTGTCTTATAAGATGATAAGGATTAAGTCTAGAAGACAAAAAGATAAAAAATTACCCCTTATCACCTCTCCTCCATTTAAACTAAAAGTAGTTTTAAAACTGAAGTTGGTGGTAGGGTACTTGCCTAGTATGTGCCAGATCCTGGATTTAATTCCTAGCATAAGAAAAACAGCAACAGTAATATAGAAATTGGTACTTAAGCAACCTTAATCATCCTTTTCTTTTTCCCAGCGCAGTTATAAGGCAGCATGCCCCTTGGCTGCTTTTGGTAGCCTGGCATTCTCTTGGGCCTGGAAAGTGCTATGTAAAATTGTTCTCTTATGCAACATCTTTTTGAATGATGTCACACATTGGATTCTTCATTTGCAACATATCAGAAACCCTTTTAGGCCTGTGCCACATAAAGTTGGAATTACATTTCTTTCAATTCAGTCTTGTATCTACTGCCCAGTTTTCTCAAAATGCTTGCAGCCTGCACTGCCTTCTAGGTATAGTGCAGAATCTTTAGCCCTGCGTTCAAGGGCTCTCAAAGGGAAATCCTAACTACATCTTTCCCAACTTGTTTCCATACCAAATCTGAGTTTTTCATAGCTCTCCAAAAATATTTGCATAATTTGCTTATTTCTGTCTTCTTTCCTTTGCTTATATTATGTTTCCTAGAGTGCCTTGTTTTTCTAGCTTTATTCACATTGTCTTTCAAGTTTTCTTTGACCACCCACTCATTTAACCATGCATTCATTCATTAATCTATCTGTTCATCAGTGAAACTGCCATTTACAAAATAACTGCAAAGAACCCAATGCTTTGTTCTTCCTTCACCCAAAATGAAAGAAAACACAAAGTCTCAGCAACAAGAAAGCATTTAGAGTAGTCATTAGACCACCTGCAGCACAATCTCCATTGGGTGCACGTATAAATACAGATCACTGGGTCTCACCTAGCTGACATTAGGGCTAAGAATCTATATTTTGATGTGTATCCTACAAAATTCTCACACTAAGACTTGAGGACTTTATATCTAGACCCCAGACAACGCCAAATTCAGAAGCCCCAAATAACCAATATCTTCTTTGTTAGATAGAAACTAGCAGCACCTCAGCTCTTCTCAGCTTCACCAAACACTCTGTTAGTGTGGTAACAGAGAAGCTGAGCAGTGTTCAGAGAGGGAGCAGTTTCTTTCATTTCATATCAGGTATTTATGGAATACCTTCATTACCTACTGGACTATCAGGTGTATCTGAAATCAACTGGGGATTGAACCCAGAGCTTTCTCACTGAGCTACATCCCCAGTACCTCCTCTCCCTATTTGGAGACAGTGCCCCATCCCCTCCCCACTGGGGCTCCAACTCAGGACCTTGCGCTTGCAAGGCAGGCACAGTGCCTACCTTGCGCTTGCAAGGCAGGCACAGTGCCACTGAGCTAAATTCTTCGCTGACAGGGTCTTGGTAAGTTGCTAAATTACCCAATCTGGGCTTAAATCTGCAGTCCTTGGAATCCTTGCAGTCCTTGGGGTTACAGGCATGCATCACCATGCCTGGCTTTCCTCTGGCTTTCAAATTGCCAAATCCTGTTTCTCCTCACTGTAAGGACAAATTTTATTTATTGCCCTTTGCCTTGCACCCTTAGGATCTCTGGCAACAACACCGGAATGTTGGAGGAATTAGGTTCATCACTCCAACACAGCACGGGTCTCTTCAGCAATCCCTTGGGCTACAGGTCTCAATCCCGGGCGTTAAGACAGCAGCAGCAGCCTGGGCTAGGTGGGCTGTTTATATAGCTCTCTAGACAAAGGTAGTAAAACTACCTGTATTTTTGGCACGAAAAAGGTGAATGTGCTTGCAGTCACGTCCCAACCAGGCCCTGGCCAGGGGTCCGGGAGGGGCGGAATGCATCACATTCCTTATCTTGATGTTAAGAACATCTGGTCTTTTTAACAAAGTCCTTCCTGCTTTTTTCCAGGGAACTGGCCAGGTATCCAGGGAAAGAAGTGGTGAACTAGTGATTATGCGCCTTAGAGAGCCGAAAGCCTTAACCCAAGCCTTTCCATCTTAAAGTTTTAACTTTCCTTACACTCACACTGAGTGCTTTATTGTGAACTTGCATTTAAAGATAGAGGTCAAAGCATATGTTTTTTTTTTGTTTGTTTTGTTTTTCTCTTAGACTTTTTATTTTTTTGTATCTTACTGAGTTTATTGGTACTTTTAAGTATGCAGTACACTTAACATTCTTCATTGGGATCTTGTACCTTTACATGACAGATCTTGGTTCTCATTTTTCCCCATACCCCTGCCCTCCCTTCACCCCCTCCACCCTCCCCTATTTACAAAGACTTTGTTTCCATTTTTTTCCTTGTCTCATATTTTTTCTTTTCCCTTATTTCTTTTTCCTTTCCCTTCCCATTTTCCCCTCATCTTTAGCCCTTTTCTTCCTATTTCACATTATCAGTTATACAATTTGAATCTTATTTACACTTTTAGTTTTAACAGCAGAGAAACAATTCGGTATTTACACATGTTGTTAATAAATGAAAAACCTTTTTAGTTAGGTAATAAATGCATGTTGTACAAAATTCAAAGGTTTTCACATCTATGTTCCCCACTCAACATTTTACCATCCTTGAAGGCAGCAATGTTTACAGTTCTTTGTTTTATTTTTTTTTAGAGATAGTCTACAAATATATATGTATATAGTATATGTGTTCATCCTTTTTTAAAAACACAAATGCAAGTGCATTATTCACTCTTCTATATGTTGTTTCTTTTGCATATCTTGTAGATTATTCTATATTATTACAAACAGAATTTTCTTTTAATAACTGAATCATTGAAGTGTTTTATAGTTAATTTAACCTGGCATCTCTTGGTGAACATTTAGGCTGAGTTTTGAAGTATTATATACAATTATGCAATGAATATGTATATATATATTTTTGGGCATATATTTTAGTATGTCTCTAGTATAATTTCTTACAAGGGAAAATCTTGAATCAAGGAGTTCATGATATATGTTGGTAAGTATTACACTTGATTGCAGCTGTTTCAACTAATACTGATTCTAGTGGTCCCTGAGAGTTGGAAATATATCTTGATAGTTCTTTTTAAAATTTACTGTCCTTTGAAAACAGCTCGTTTCACAATGTTTAAATATTTTTGTTTAGGTCTTTAGAGACAAATTATGGCTATTTATAATGTATAGTTACTCTTTTCCAGCTTAGGAATCATATTTTATACTTGATAGAAAACTACCAGACAGTGGTGATTGTTGGAGAAACAGGATGTGGGAAAAGCACACAGATTCCTCAGGTGAGTACATAATTAATTAATATGTGTCCTTATAATTAGATTTATTTGGAAATACTTTGTATCTTGAAAACCCTCTTTGCTTTGATTTGCATTTTTAAGGCCTCCTCTCAGGAACTAGTCACCTCTCAATTAGGAACTACACACTTCAGTCACTTTTTTATTAAAATTTTAGGGCTTACAATTTCTTTGATTAGTGCTAAAGTCAATGTTTCTTCAATTTATTATATTTCCAAAATAAAAATGGAATAGCCATTTTTTGAAAAGAGCAGAGAGGAATTATTCAAAGATGTGTAATTCATTGCTTTTGTCCTCAAATAATTGTAGTTGAATACCACTGTAGCTGCAAGTGAAAATTGGCTATTATAGAAATATGCAGTACTATGGAAGAAACTTGCCCTACTGGGAAAAATTCTATCTGGTATGGATAGGATTGGAAAGACAAAGGAACCAGGAGAGGATCCGAGTCTAGAGGAAGCAGAGGAGGAGGGAAGTTTCAGGAGGTGAGTGGGCACGAGTTTCAGCCTAGAGGGTGACTAGGGAGTAGGAGACAAAAATCAGTCCTGGGGTGGTCATCTTGGAGAGTCAGTCCAGTGGAGTGGGGGGAGAGGAGAAGGTCATTCATAGGGAGTGGAGCTGTGGTGAGGAGTAGGGGGCTGAGACAACAGCTCTCTCGTAGGGTTTTATAGGTAGGAAATTGAATGTGTTGATGATATGTTATTGGCTCCCTGGTGCAGACTTGTGAACTTGCTAAGATCTCTGTATTATTATTATTATTATTATTATTATTTTTCTAACTCAGTAGTTTAGGGCCATGGAAGTTTATTTCTTTTTTTTGGGTTTAGTCCCCCGACACCAAGAACTCAGGACCTTGTGCTTGCCAGACAGACGCGGTGCCTCTGAGCTAAATCTCCAGCCTCTCTGTATGGTTTTTTTGGAGACGGTCTCACTATGTAGTTGAGACTGACCTGGAACTTACTGTGTAGTCCAGACTGGTCTGGAAGTCACAGAGATCCTCCTGCCTCAGCCTCCTGAGTGTATGGTTTTTAATACCTTTGTCTGCTCTCAGGATAGTGGGTTTAGGATCAGGCTCAGACATAGGTATTTTTAAAAAGTTTTCCAGGTGATCTAAGGTATAGCTAGGGAAAGGTAGGCAGAGGGGAGTGACTTAGTAGAGAAAAGACAAGACAGCAGAGGAAATGGTGGTCTGAAGGCAAAATGTGTGTACAATTAGTGTCAAGAGCCCAGAAATTTACTTGTTTCTTAGAGAAAGAAACGGGAAGGACCAGGTTAAATTCCTGAGAGGTTATTAGTACTAATAGTACTAATAGTACCGATAATAGGTAATTATTACAGTATAATAGTAAGTGCTACATAAAGTGAGCCATTTACCAGTATTCACCTGTTTAATCCTCAATGACCCTATGAAGTAGGAGCTATTTTTATCTCCTGTATAGGTGAGGTTGGGGAATATAGAATTGAGATAAAAGGCCATATGAGAGATCCATTAAGTTTTGGAATTAGTTATTTAGTAAGATTAGGATAAACTATGTTATGGTAACAAAGAACCTGAAAGTCTTATTGGCTTAACAACACAAAGATTTATTTCTTGCTTACATGTATAGTCATCTTGGCTTTGAGGTGCTATGTGTCATTGGTACCAGGCCGGACGGCGTATCTCTTATTTGGGATTGTTGATCTTGTGGTGTGGGGCACAGTTTGGAGTTGGCTCTCGTGGCCCTTGTGCTTAGATTTCATTGGTCAAAACAAGTTACATGGCCAGGCCTGAGAGCAACAGGGTGGCAATATGTAATCCTTCCACATTTGGAGGAATACAATATAGCATATTAATGTAGTCATGTCCCCCAGCAAAGCTCAGCTGCCATGGAACAGAGAGGGCCTGTTGAGGGCTGAGTTCAGGGGAAGAATGGCTAGAGAGGAGTAAGGGCTAAGGGTCCAGGCTGGGCAGTGTGGCAGTAAAATTGTAACGTTTATTTTAACAATTAAAATGTTTTGAATATTTAATGGGTTCACATGGTTTAAAATTCAAAAAAGCCTAAAAGAACACAGACAGAAAGCTTTCCCTTCTTTATCTTCTGGTGCTTATTTCCTTTATGCAAATGTAACCAATGTTATCAGTTTTTTTTGGGTAGAGATATTTTTATGCATTTACATATATATATATGTATATATATAATATTCCTTTTAAAAACCTCTGTATATGTTTTAATGTACCCTTTTTCATTTAATGTATTGTTTTTTTCTGTTCCAAAGATTATAGTATGTGTACATAATTTATTTTACCAATCTCTGGTTGATAGATATTTAGGTAGTTTCTAGTTTTGTATTATCACAATAATGTAATGAGTCAGTTTGGCACATATATCATTTTGCATATGTACAGGCATTTACTTTTATTTTTCTGTATTGGGTATTGGACCTAGGACCTTGAGTATGGACTGGGTATGTGCTCTACCACTGAGCTACATTTCTATCCTGTTTTATTTTTAATTAAAAAAAAATTTTGAGATAGGATCTTTCCTAGTTACCCCAGGCTGACCTCCAAACAGTGTTCCTTCTGCCTCATTGAGTAGTTGGGATTGTGTCATGTGCCAGCCTGGCTAACAAGCTCTTCTTGTTGTTTTTTTGTTTTGTTTTGATTTTTTTTTTGTTTGTTTTTTTGAGACATGGTCTCACTATGTAGTCGAGACTGACCTGGAACTCACTATGTAGCCCAGGCTGGTCTCGAACTCGCAGTAATTCTCCTGTCTCAGCCTCCTGAGTGCTGGGATTAAAGGTGTGCGCCACCATGCCCAGTTTAACAAGCTCTTCTTAATCAGTTTTTATTAGTACTGTTATTGGTGGAAGTGTTCCTTATCCCTTTTTTGGTGGGGGTACTGGGGATTGAACTCAGGACCTTGTACTTGCAAGGCAGGCGCAGTGCCACTGAGCTAAATCCCCGGCCCTCCTTATCCCATTCGTTAACTCTAAGACCAGATTTGATCATCTTGAAGCAGCATGGAGAAATGAGACAGGATTCAGCTTCTGGTCCCATGATGTCCCTCCCTGACACCCAGTGCTTCTTGGTGTCTTGCACTACTGTTCAGTTTCTTCTTTGAAGCAGTCATAATCATGTACAGCAGTCTAATGAATCACTTGGTGTCCTGAGATGACTAGCCTCATGGAACAGGATGTTAGTTTTTATGGAAATTGTTTCTTTCATTTAACACTGTTACTAAGAGATGAGCTCCATGTGTGTTTGTTTGAATTATGTCTTGGTTGTGTGTCAGGGCTTTGGTTTATGTAGTTTGATTTCCAGATCTTGGATTTTTCTCTGCTTCCTTGGAAAGTTATGTGATCTCTTTGTGCCCTCATCTGTATATTGCTGATGATGCTATCAACTTCTTTGTGGGATTTGTTGGAGGATTACATGGGTAATGCATGTAAGGCACTCAGCATAGTTCCCTGGCACTTAGTAAGGTACTCAGTGAATCTTAGCTATTATTCTGATAGGTTTTTTTTTTTTTTTTTTTTTTTTTTTTGTATTTGTGTTGATTGGGGTGGTTAGTAGTATTTTTTTTGTATGAAATATAAGAGAGAGACAGTATAGTTGTTACAGCAACCTATGTTTATATTACAGTTCATTTCTTACAGTTGTTTTTTAAACTTTAATTTTGGTCTGAAGAGAAAAATTACAAAAAATAATATACTGAATTTTCTTATACCCCTCACATTACTTTTAGTACAATACTCAAAAAAGCGGACATTAACTTGCTATAATACTGGTAATGAGACTACACATGTTATTTAAGTCTCTTGTTACTTTTTGGGTTCTGGGATCCTACGTTACACTTAGTTATTTCTTCTCAGTCTGTGAGAGTTCCTCTGTCCCTCATCTTTTATGACCTTACTGCTTTTAAAGAATATTAGACATTTATTTTTTTAGAATGTCTTTCACTTTGGGTTTCTGTCACATTTACTCAAGATAAGAAGGGCTTATGTATTTTTGGCAAAAATACCACAGAAATGGTACTGTATCCTTAGTGCATCATGTCACAGGATCATGATCATGATAGGTCTTGTCATTGGGGGTGTTAGCCTTGATCACTTAAGGGGCTAGATTTCACCTCTAAAGCTGCTGTCTTGGCCTTTATAGTTAGTACATATCTTGGATGAGGTAATTTCAGTGTACAAATGCTCTGCTTCCCTTCAGACTTCTACCTGCTCGTGTTAGTGTCCTGCAGTGGGTCTTGTCATGCATCAGTGGTGATAACTGCTTTTTTTCTCCGCTTTCCTCTACTTTTGTAAATGGAATCTTCTCTAAGAAAGAACTGTCCTTTTTCTTCCGTGTGTGTATGTATATCAATATGGATTCATTAATTTTTTTTCCTGAGGGTTAAAATTCAGCACAATGATTATATATTTTGTTGCTCAAACTGTTCCATCTTTGACTATTAGGAACACCTTCAGTTTTTTTCCTGTTTTCTTTCTATTTTTTTTCCTGTTTTCTCTCTAAAAGCATCCTTTTTTGACCACTTCCTTACTTAGTGCTACAAGACATGGCTCACTTTATATTTCCTATATCTAAGCTGATTCTATTTATTGGAAAATGGTATTTAAAAAAAAGAGATCTGGATGCTAGGGTGCTCACTGCAACTGTGAATCTCACTGGACAGATTTAGGAAGCATAAAGAAATACTATTAACCTAGATATATAAAAGTACCTATTTATTTTTATTTATATATATATTAAATAGCAAATTTATACTGATACTTTCTTTTCAGTCTGTAGGGCTCATTTTAGTCTTATTTGTAACTTCCTCCAACAGCAAGAAACTCACTCTCTATACGCTACATTTTGTTTATATCTTGTTTAAATTCTAGTATATGCATAAGATAGTTTTAAATTAAAACTGCTGACCACACCCTTGTTTGGGTGTTTACCAGCATTTGCTAACTAAATTATAGTTTGTGGAGCTGGGGATGTAGCTCAGTGGTAGAGTTCTTGCTTAGCATGTGCAGGGCCCTGGGTCTGAGCCCCAGCCCTGCAAAAACAAAAACAATTACTAATATTTATTACACTTTGATTTGTCTTTAGCCTTTCAACATCTAGTGAAGATACTGTTTTCTATGGTTATTTGGCTTAGTCCTTTTCCACCCTTCACAGGTATTTATTAGAAATATGAGAAACTGAAAAAATGGAAATAAAGTGTTTGTAAATGGGGAGGGGAGGAGGAGGTGAAGGGAGGGCAGGGACAAGGGGAAAAATGAGAATCAAGACCTCTTATGTAAAGGTACAGAATCCCAATGATGAATGTAATTGTATTGTATACCTAGATTGTACTAATAAACTCAATAAAAAGAAAAAAAAAAAAAGAAATGCAGAAAGGGTCATTTGTTAGTGTTTGTATTTCCTTTTGTTTTTCCCCTGTATCCTGGGGGAGGAAATGGAATCTTTTCTAAGAAAGAGCTAATTTCCTTTCTTATCAATATAGATTGATGAGTATTTATATTTTTTATAGGTTAAAATCTAGTACAATGATTATTTATTGGTTTTATTTACAGTATTTGTGAATATTTGAAGGGTATGTGACTATGGTTCTGAAAGTCAGAGCTACCCAAAATGATCTCTTAGAGCACTGCTACTCTTTCGTTCCCGTTACTGTTTGCTTTTCCCTTCTTCTTTCCCACCCAGCCCTGTAGCCAACTATTCTCTTTGATTTCTGTGTTATCTTTCCTTTATTTCTTTTGAACCAGTGAACATATACGTTATCAGCAGTTTTAATCTTTTTTGTTATAGAAGTAATATATATTCATTGTAAAATAATTAGACATTATATTTAACTCTGATAACCACTGTTACCCATGTAGGATTTTAAGTGTTTATAATTAAGTATATAAATAGTTCATATAAATACATTTAATCAAAATTTTTATATACAAATATCTAAAGACATGTTCATATATAACTGAATGATTGTTTTTATTTTTACTACAGTGTGTTGTGTATTTGGTATTTATATCGAGCTGCCTCTATGCTTAAGATTCTTTGTTCTATGGATTTAGCATTGTTCTGAATGTCCCCTCGGTATTGTTTTTTCCCTTCAGGACTCTGAGGTACAGTACATGGGAATTTTGTAGTCTGAGGAGTCTGAATGTTGAATCTTGTTCTTCTGTTTGTCAGTTTTGATGTGAGCTGAGACAAATTACCTAATATCATCAAGCTTAATATGTGTCATCTGTAAAATAATTTCCACAGTTCTGCTGAAACAAGAGCAGTGTTGTTTCCTTGCTGAGTGATTTTAACACAGCACAGGCTCATCTTGGAGAGGTGGTGTCTGAGGTGTATTCACATGTGATTCTGCTTGCAGTACCTGGCAGAAGCTGGCTGGACAGCCGAAGGAAGAGTGGTTGGAGTGACCCAGCCTCGCAGAGTGGCTGCTGTGACAGTGAGTTTCTTTTTGTGTTGTGGCATCTTCTGTTTCCCTGACTTATTTTTTTAAATTTCCTGAAAACTTCCAATGAACAGAGATTGCTGCCTCACAATTTAGCTCTTCATTTTAAAAGGAGCTGTGATTTGAATATTCTGGTAAAATTGATATGTACACATGATGAGCATTTTAAGTAATAAAGTACTGAGGAAATAAAAACAAAACAAATAATGTAAAAAGCCAACAAAACTATGGCTGGGGATGGTAGCTCAATGGTACAGCACTTGATTAGCACCTGTGAGTCACTGGTTTGATCTCCAGATCACAAATAATATAGCAGTAGTAATAACAACAACAACAACAACAAAGAAAATTCATCCAGCAAAAATGTTGTGAATGTCATTCCAGACTTCTTTTAAAGATAAAGATAAGTGTTTGGCTGGTTGAATAGAAAAATTTTATGAAAATGGGATCATAATCATAGATTTCCTTGTATTTAACAAAAGAAAAAACTGAAATGAAATAAGTGCAGTTAACTTTGGAAATTTGTTCATCACAAGAGAATTTATTAAAGCTTGAAAAGAAAGAAAGATGAAAAACTTTAAAAAAATGTTGCTTTTTTTTTTTTTTTTTTTTTTTTTGGTACTGGAGATCGAACTCAGGCCCTCACACCTGCAAGACAGGCAGTGGTGAGCTAAATCCCTGGCCAACAGAGTTTTTTATGAAAGAAGAGGAAATTAACGCATACTTTCTTTCTACCTTTCTTCCTTCCATTTGTTAATATACAGTACTGTCATTTTCAAGAGTTAGAACATATATATTCTTAATTGTTATGCCCACAGATGTTTACCTTAATTTATTTAAATGAATTAAATGCTCATCTCTAATTATTTTCCATGTTTTTGTGAACTCTGAACTATTCATTTTATTTCTTGGTTGGGTGAGTAAAATTTCTTTTTACATGCTTGAGAATATTTGTGATCATATGTAACATTTTTTATTTGTATTCTCTTTCCTTGGAAACTGCAGAATTTGTCCTATGGCCCTTGGTGTTAAAAATCACTGGAGAAGCCGGGCGTGGTGACGCACGCCTGTAATCCCAGCACTCGGGAGGCTAAGGCAGGAGGATCACTGTGAGTTTGAGACCAGCCTGGGCTACATAGTGAGTTCCGGGTCATCCTCAACTACTTAGTGAGACCCTGTCTCAAAAAAAAAGAATCACTGCAGGTCTGAGTCTGAGGTTCAGCAGGCTTTTCCCCATACCTTCTGGCTTGGTTTTTTTGCTTGAATACCTGCTAATGTTGCTTTTCATCAGTCTTGGTATTCCATGTGCTGTCATAGTATTTCCTAAATATGGAAAAATTCCTATCTTCAGATTCAAATCTGTCAGGCAGGTTTTCTTCTGTTATATCTTGGCATACCTTTCTGTTCCAGTTTTACTGCCTTTTGTAAGCATCAACTAAGTACACATTAGATCATTAACTGACTCTGGCTGGAATCATGCTCATTTCCAGATTTTTGTTTTTTTTGGTAGTAGTTCTTCAAGCCTATCCACAGTGTTCATGAATCTCACAGTCACTTCTTTTAATTCCTTCTTCCCTCCCTCCTCCCTTCCTTCCATCCATCCCTTCCTTCTGCTTCTCTCCTCTTTCTCTTGCTCTTTTCTTCTCTTCCCCTTCCCTCCCCTTTTTCCCTTTTTGTTTCCCTCTGTCCCTCTGTCCTTTCCTTTCTTTTGCAGTGCTGGGTATCAAATACAGGTTTTTGGTACTGGTGATCAAACTTAGTACCATGGGCTTATGAGGTACATGGCAGCACCACTGAGCTAAATCCCTGGCCCAAATCCTGGCTTTTGAGCATGGTAGGCACATGCTCTACTGCTGGACTATTTCTCCCCCCACCCTTTTCAGGAGACAGAGAATCAAATAGAGTAAGAGAAGCTACTAGGTTATATTACAGATTTTAAAAGCTGATAATGCTATAAAACATGAAAGATATTCATAAAAGTAACATGACTTTTAAAAAAATATCAGTTATCTGTCTTGCTAGACATTTTTCTGTAAACTTTTCTCCCATAATTTTTGGCTGCATTTCATTGATGGCCTCCTTACAGGACAGTGGTTGTCTGTTATTTTCCTATAGAGAGCATAGAGCAGCATTTTAGTGTTTCTTCTAGCATAGCTGATTCACATTTGCTTTTTATTATTGACATAGTGGAAAAATTCTTTAGTTTGTAACTTGTTTATAGTGTTACGGAAGGAATTTGCAAGTGACACACAGAGAGGCAGCAGAATGGAAGTAAAATAACAAATTTACTCATCAATGGGGGTCGATTGCACATATGCAGTGCCTGGATTGACGACCCACTGGGATACAACTTCTCCTTTTATAGGGTTTTACAGCTCTGACCTCATTTGGGTGGTTACGTTTCATTTTTACAGTTCAAATCACGGTCACGGGAGGGTTAACTTTCAACCCAGATATAATTCTTTGTAGCTAGGGGAGTTTACCTTTAAGATTCGCCTAATTATCCGTAGGAAGAGGGGTGTTCAGGGTCAGGGGAGCAATTGTTAGCAGTGGTCCTTTTCATCTTGACACTTTTACAATCATGTGGCTCTATTCTCTTTGGATCTCAAGGTCTTGATGTGTCCTGTCATCTCAGGGTAAGACCAAATGCCTCATTCAGCAGGTGCCTGTTCTGAGCTAAACAAAACAAACTGCTGTTAGAGACAGTAGAAACCATTTTGCATTGTATAACTTTATAGGTTTTTGCTATTTATACAAGTTTTCTCCATCAGTAGCATTGTGTAAATTTGGGGAATTCTCATATTTGGTAGAGCCTCTAGTTTCTTTCATGTGCGCGTGGTGAGATCTGCAGAACTTCCCCAGACTGGCTTCTGGCCTGCTCATTTATCACCTTGTTCCTTCTTAACTCTCCTATGTATCTATTCCTTAAGCTTTTTTTAGCTTCAACTTGTGATTTCTTTGAAACTCAATTTCTGAGTGCTTTGGGTAATACTTTAAAATTTTCATTTAACAATTTTTTTTGCTCATATTGTTTCCTTCTTTTATTTCTTCCTTTTTTGTCAACTTTTGTGTGTTCGGGTCTGTGTTAAGTACTCATCTCTGAAGGAGATCATCAATGGGGGTCGAATGCACATGACCCAGAGCTGTGACAGAGCTGTGAGACTAGTAGTGTGGATGGGGCATGCCCTCTGTCTGATGGTCTTTCTTTTTTGTGGATAAGGATAAGGATCTGGTGATGTACCCCTTGGTGATTTGAGAAGCCTTTGTGGCCCAGGACAAAATTCTTAGGGTTCTCTGATTGGGTTTTTTTTTTTTTTTTTTTTTTTTTTTTGGGTTTTGAC